TCCTCTTCCCACTAAAGCCCATCAAGGCCCATTGCTTCTCCCGTAACTATCCGGTACTCCGAAAAATACCCGAATCACTCGGAACCTTTCCGATGTCCGAATATAGTCATCCAATATATCGATCTTTACGTCTCGACCATTTTGAGACTCCTCGTCATGTCCCCGATCTCATCCGGGACTCCGAACTCCTTCGGTACATCAAAACTCATAAACTCATAATATAACTGTCATCGAAACCTTAAGCGTGTGGACCCTACGGTTCGAGAACAATGTAGACATGACCGAGACACGTCTCCGGTCAATAACCAATAGCGGGACCTGGATGCCCATATTGGCTCCTACATATTCTACGAAGATCTTTATCGGTCAAACCGCATAACAACATACGTTGTTCCCTTTGTCATCGGTATGTTACTTGCCCGAGATTCGATCGTCGGTATCCAATACCTAGTTCAATCTCGTTACCGGCAAGTCTCTTTACTCGTTCCGTAATACATCATCTTACAACTAACATATTAGTTGCAATGCTTGTAAGGCTTATGTGATGTGCATTACCGAGAGGGCCCAGAGATACCTCTCCGACAATCGGAGTGACAAATCCTAATCTCGAAATACGCCAACCCAACATGTACCTTTGGAGACACCTGTAGAGCTCCTTTATAATCACCCAGTTACGTTGTGACGTTTGGTAGCACACAAAGTGTTCCTCCGGCAAACGGGAGTTGCATAATCTCATAGTCATAGGAACATGTATAAGTCATGAAGAAAGCAATGGCAACATACTAAACAACCGGGTGCTAAGCTAATGGAATGGGTCATGTCAATCAGATCATTCAACTAATGATGTGATCTCGTTAATCAAATAACAACTCTTTGTTCATGGTTAGGAAACATAACCATCTTTGATTAATGAGCTAGTCAAGTAGAGGCATACTAGTGACACTCTGTTTGTTTATGTATTCACACATGTATCATGTTTCCGGTTAATACAATTCTAGCATGAATAATAAACATTTATCATGATATAAGGAAATAAATAATAACTTTATTATTGCCTCTAGGGCATATTTCCTTCAATGAGGACCTCTACCAACGGTTAGGCATGAAGGAAGGCGAAAGGGACATCTATAAGATGGCCAAGATCCGAGAGAGGAAGACGAGGGATATTGGCCAAGTTAAATGCATCAAGGACGGAGCAGGCCAACTCTTGGTGAAGGACGAGGAGATTAAGCATAGATGGCGGGAGTACTTCGACAAGCTGTTCAATGGAGAGAATGAGAGGTCTACCATTGAACTGGACAACTCCTTGGATGAGACCAACATGCGTTTTGTGCGGCGAATCCAGGAGTCTGAGGTCAAGGAGGCTTTAAAAAGGATGAAAGGAGGCAAGGCGATGGGCCCTGATTGTATCCCCATTGAGGTGTGGAAAGGTCTCGGGGACATAGCGATAATATGGCTAACCAAGCTTTTAAACCTCATTTTTCGGGCAAATAAGATGCCAGAAGAATGGAGACGGAGTATATTAGTACCAATCTTCAAGAACAAGGGGGATGTTCAGAGTTGTACTAATTACCGTGGAATTAAACTGATGAGCCATACAATGAAGCTATGGGAGAGAGTCATTGAGCACCGCTTAAGAAGAATGACAAGCGTGACCAAAAATCAGTTTGGTTTCATGCCTGGGAGGTCGACCATGGAAGCCATTTTCTTGGTACGACAACTTATGGAGAGATATAGGGAGCAAAAGAAGAACTTGGATATGGTGTTCATTGACTTAGAGAAAGCCTATGATAAGATACCGCGGAATATCATGTGGTGGGCCTTGGAGAAACACAAAGTCCCAGCAAAGTACATTACCCTCATCAAGGACATGTACAATAATGTTGTGACAAGTGTTCGAACAAGTGATGTCGACACTGATGACTTCCCGATTAAGATAGGACTGCATCAAGGGTCAGCTTTGAGCCCTTATCTTTTTGCATTGGTGATGGATGAGGTTACAAGAGATATACAAGGAGATATCCCATGGTGTATGCTCTTTGCGGATGATGTGGTGCTAGTTGATGATAGTCGGACAGGGATAAATAGGAAGTTAGAGTTATGAAGACAAACCTTGGAATCGAAAGGGTTTAGGCTTAGTAGAAGTAAAACAGAGTACATGATGTGCGGTTTCAGTACTACTAGGTGTGAGGAGGAGGAGGTTAGCCTTGATGGCCAGGTGGTACCTCAGAAGGACACCTTTCGGTATTTGGGGTCAATGATGCAGGAGGATGGGGGTATTGATGAAGATGTGAACCATCGAATCAAAGCCGGATGGATGAAGTGGCGCCAAGCTTCTGGCATTCTCTGTGACAAGAGAGTGCCACAAAATCTAAAAGGCAAGTTCTACAGGACGGCGGTTTGACCCGCAATGTTGTATGGCGCTGAGTGTTGGCCGACTAAAAGGCGAATTGTTCAACAGTTAGGTGTGGCGGAGATGCGTATGTTGAGATGGATGCGTGGCCACACGAGGAAGGATCGAGTCCGGGATGATGATATACGAGATAGAGTTGGGGTAGCACCAATTGAAGAGAAGCTTGTCCAACATCGTCTGAGATGGTTTGGGCATATTCAGCGCAGGCCTCCAGAAGCTCCAGTGCATAGTAGACGGCTAAAGCGTGCGGAGAATGTCAAGAGAGGGCGGGGTAGGCCGAATTTGATATGGGAGGAGTCCGTTAAGAGAGACCTGAAGGATTGGAGTATCACCAAAGAGCTAGCTATGGACAGAGGTGCGTGGAAGCTTGTTATCCATGTGCCAGAGCCATAAATTGGTTGCGAGATCTTATGGGTTTCACCTCTAGCCTACCCCAACTTGTTTGGGACTAAAGACTTTGTTGTTGTTGTTGTTGTTTTTATGGTTGGGCAAAATAAGTGTTGTCAGTTTCATTCTCTCATGTGTTCAGATTCTAGGAGTGGGATTTGCCTGCACTTTGAGAATTACTCAATTTATCTGGTAGATGTCCTTTTGTTAGTAAGAAATCCATCTATTTTAATGTGATTAAGATATGTATCTTCCGGTCATTGGTTGTTTTCGTTACTGAAATCTGCACTTGCTTCTGCTTGTATCATTGCTTCATGTCATTAGTTAAATCCACTCCTTACAGTTAGCTGTTCATAGCTGCAGAATTGTAGGGGGTTCCATCCAATAGTTTGTAAACTACTGGAGCAATATCATGTGAACAAAATTTCTGCCCTGGTTATATTTTGCCTCTCTTTATGCGGGCCTCTTTTCTGCTTGCCATCATGTTTACGGATTCTTTGTTACGGCTTCTTTATATTGGCAAGCTTGTGTTTTGGTTGTCAGATTGCCGCTGTTTGTGATCTGGTAACTGATTTCCATGGTGTTGCTTAATTTGCCCCCTGTATTTTCAGTTGTTTCCAGACAGATTAGTCGGGAGTACATACTTATACAAATGAAAATACTGTTTTAATTGCTGCCACAGGAAAGTTGCTGCGTAAGTAATCGTCACAGGAGATTTGAAGAGCATAGTTTTTCTATTTGCAAGATCTTACTTAGATGTGGACCTGGAGATAGATATCCTTGGGCACAAACTTGGAGAGTGCCTTAACTTAAATACACATGATTTAGTGAGTTCAGCGATCTTTGGTAGTCAGGCTCCGGCTTACTCAAATGGTAGCGAGATTCGGTGATCCTTTCCATTCCATCCATATTTCTTAATTTGGTGTAACTTGTAAAATACAACACATTCTCTATAAATTATTAATGGCGATAATTTTATTGGTTCTATGACTTGATTCCTATTTAGATTGCAGTTTCCTTGCATAGCAGAGCGTAACATGGTTCCTAATGTTCATTTCTAACTAGCTGACATTTTTAGGACACTGTTGTTGATATTTTTCGAATGTAATGCTTAAGATGCACTTTCCTGAACTATTTTTGGACAATGGCTGTCGTTGATGTATTTTTGGTTCTTAACCCCAAAATAATAGATAGATATATACACTGTTCCAAGCTTTTACTAGGATATATGAGCTGTTGTTCATATCCCTGAGAAGCTTTTGCTAATTTCAAGGTGAAATCGAGATTGTTACTATCTCTTAAGCTGCATGTACCATTTTCCATCTGTCTCTGTTTGTTCGGGAAGCAGAAATGAGCTCCTTTGAGCTTTGGATTAGTTGAGTTGGGAGCTCTATCTCTATGTACCAGTTATGTTTGATGTGATCATGTCCGGTCCCTACTCTAAAGTTTTGATTTGAATCCATGTGTTCCACCGCTGCACTGACCATCAGACCTCACCGGCAAATTGAGTTCTGCGCGTTATCGCAGGTGATGATTCAGTTCTGATGGACGACGAGTAATTGGAATCATGCCGATCAATGGTCATCTTGGAAGGCAATACAATCTACAGGTGGGTAATTGTGCTGCAAGTGATTGAAGTTGTTGCCATTTACATATTCTGTTGCTTCCTAGTCGCAGCATGTGCATATTCTGTTGCCATTGTAATTAAACGCGTTGAGAAATACTCCCTTCATCCGGAAAAGTTTGTCTTTTTTTTTTGCGAAGATCCGGAAAAGTTTGTCGTGTTAGATACATCCATTTGAGGGACAAACTTTTTTGAACGGAGAGTACTATATAAGTATACATACATATACTGGTCGAGATACAGGCAAGTTTTATTAAGACAAAACATTTCCAAACTCTACACGTGATGACAAATAAATTAACCGGGCATCGAGGTTTCTGGATCTCAGCAGAAGAATATTTAAAGAAAAAACAAGTATATAATTACTTAAACGGGAAATGATCCTGGATCATGCCACCTCCAAATGAGCAGCCACTGCCTGAATACATGCTCTCTGAGCATGAGGAAAAACAATCCAAGAGTTCGAGGATTTGAGCACGTAGATTCCCCAAATTGACAGATCCCTAATAAAAAAATTAACCGGCAAGATTTATTTGGACAAAACATTTCCAAACTCTATACATGATGACAAATAAATTAACCGGCCAGCAAGGTAACTGAAACAGATGGATGTCTTGTGTGCACCCGTGCGGCTCTCCTGAAGGCAGACTCCACATCGGCGCCTATGCGTTGCCGGTGTTTGCCTGACACACCGCTGGTGTGTTTGAGCCACACGCGGATGTCCCTGAGGCAGGTCAGAAACTCCATGCCGACCGGCGTAGCGCTTCTCCACTCTTTCCAGCCGAATCGCAGAATGAGCGTTTGTAGCATGGGCATACCTCCTGCGTCGAAGCTCAGGTACGCGGTGACGTCTTCATCAGACCGGATCGCAAAGTACTCCAGAACCGGGAATAACCGCGTGCCGACCACAACTTTGTCTTGGGAGACCTTCGACACGTGGAGCCAGACATGGACGAGGAACGGAAGTTGTCCAAGAACACAAACCTCGTCATTCGACAGGTGCAAGACATGAAGAGAGAGGACCCGTAGACAACGTAGTTCACCAATCCATTTCGGAACTCTACCGAACTCCCACATTGATAGATTGAGTACCTCGAGACCGGGAGGAGGATCAGGTAATGACTCCAGCTGCCTGTCATTACCATCCCATTCATGATGACATTTGAGGGAGAGTTGCCTTAGGCCTCGGAGCATACCAATGGAGAAGACCAAAGCATCCACTTGTTCTGCTGTCAAGCACTTGCGGTAAGGCATCCTCAAGGTCAATTCCTTCAGATTAGTCAGCTCACTAAGGCCTGCTATATTCTCCAGCGAACTCTCCGAGATGCCCGAACAATGCAGGGTGCCGACTGATTTCATATTGTGGATTCCTTCAGGGAGCACAGTACCATACGGTAGTACCAAGTGAAACAAGTTGACCAAGCAAGTTATATCTGATGGGAAGCTTTGTGTGGGATTGCACTGTAAATCTAGAGTTTCCAAATGAGAAACCCCTTGAATTTCAGCTGGGAGTGCTACGCCTGCTGATATGGCTGAAACCTTCAAATACCTCAGTAAAAATAAATGACCAATTGCAGTGAGATCGACTATTGTATCCCATTGATATGGAAACTCGAACCAAAGCACCCGTAGATACTTAAACTGTGAAAGAGGGGGGGTGTACAGGGACTCTCCGAACCGTGCATATGATCGAACTTGTGACATGCTAGTAACAAGGGTGTTTGATGTTGCACCATCAACACTTGATTTCAGGGATAATCGACGAACCTTGTACTCACTTCTGTGCAATCTTTCCATGTCTTCATTGTCATATGCTACAATGATAAAATTGTCTTCTGCACACTTGCTTAGAATCAAATCAAGCATCATATCATGTACTCTGCAAGAAAGTACCTCCCCATAATGTGTTTTCTCAGGCTGAATCAAACTTCTGTTGATAAGCTCATTGAAATAACTTATTGCAACGCCATCTAAATCTCCGTGCAAACTACAAACAAAGCCTTCGGCTATCCATTGCCGAACCAGGTCATCCCTTAAGATCTCACGGTCTTCCGGATACATGCCGAGGTACAAAAAGCATGGACGGAGATGAACAGGAAGATGCATGTAGCTAAGGTTTAATATACCCCTCATCTCTTCCAAGGTGGGTTTCGTGGCAAACTTGGCACCAAGAGAATTCTTTATGATCTCCCATTCATTCACCAATCTTGCTTCTTGGCTGGCTAATAGGCTAGATATGGTGATAATTGAAAGTGGCAATCCGCCACACTTCTTGAGAATCTCAGCTAAAATTTCTTCAAACTGGGGTGGGCATACATTTTCAGATCCAAACACTCTGTTACAGAATAATCTTGTTGAATATTTCTCTTCAAGGTGCTTCATTCTGTAAATGTTAGAGTCATCATTGCCGCATGCCCTAACAGCTACGTCCTCCAGTCGTGTGGTTACCATTACTCTACTTCCATTAGCATTTTCTGGAAAGGCACAACTAATAATGTTCCATGTTGGTTCATCCCACAAGTCATCAACTAGAATAAAGTACCTGTTGAATTTTTGCACGAGTTACTCATATATTATATCGAAGTCATGAAAACTAAAATTAAGAAAACAAGTGATAATGAAGGGTGGTGACACACATCTTTCAAAATTCAAAGAAAAAAGATAGAGAAATGGTAGAGTTTTGAATAGACAGAGATCTTGAGCTCAACCCTTAATACTGTTTTTTCCTACTTACAACGTCTAAACAACAATGTTCTTGTACAAAAAGTAACATAAGTTGAGGCAGCTTCATGTTTAGCCTACTACTTTGAACCTATAACAGTAATTTTTATGAGCTAGCGCAACTTTCCTAGCCAAAAAGCCTCATAAGATTTGGCTTTGGACTAAAAAGTATCTTTGTCACAAGTCATTAGTACAACTTAAAGTTTCACCAAACTATGCCAAAAATCTGTGGATAACCTTTGGTGAAATCACGCAATTACTGAGAAGTAGCCCATGTAAATATGTGAGTGAGTCGTAGAAGGAAAAAGTACCTCATATGCTTGAGGTGTTCCCTAAGGCGGTTAATAATGTCTTGCAGCTCTTGAACATGGGAAGAATCCTTGATCCCAATATTGAATTGTAGTGCACTGAGAAGATTTTTCACATTTGGTCTTTGGGAGACGGAAACAAATGCCATACAGTTAAATTGCCCTCCAATCTCATCATACACTTTGCTGGCAAGTGTAGTTTTACCCAAACCTCCGAACCCCACAATGGAAACCACTTTAAGTTCTTTCTTGGAATCCATCAACAAACTAACCAGCTCTTCCTTTGGGGCATCAATACCAACGAGGCCTGTTGCCTCCTTATAAATCGCCGTCATTCGGGGATCCACAACCACGGTGTCATAACTCGAATTGATACAATCATCAATCCTGTACCTCTCGCGCCGAGCATTCGCCTCCACCGCGAGAACCTTGAGCTCCTCGATGCGGTTGGCGATCTGATGACGCCTCCCCAGCCTCCTGAGCCGCCGAGCCATCTTCCTGACGAAGCCTTTCTTTGCATCGGCACCTTGAATGTCATGAATAAAATCATCGATGCAGTTTTCCATGTCATAGGACATCTCCCTGATGTGGTCCCTCCAGTTCTTGGCCGTGGGATCGAGCTTGTCCATGAGCTCCATCTTGTCGAGCAGAGCTTTCATGGCGCTGAGCTCGTCCTTGAGGAATGAGGCCTGCTTCCTCACCCCCGTGAGCTTCTTGTATTCCTCGCCGAGCAGCTGGCCGAGCTTGCCGAGGAGAGGGTTCAGCACCCCCGTGGTCGCGCTCGCTGCCATGCCGATTTCTACTGCTCCTCTGCTCTTCGCTTCCGCGTAGCCCCGGAAGGCCCGAAGCAGAGAGAGAGAGAGAGAGGAGGAGGAGGTGGGCAGCGCGAACTAGCCGAGAAACTGGACTCACGAGGCACGCGCCGCCGTGGTCGGAGCTGGAGACTGCCCCCCCGAGCACCCAGCCGCCGGATCTAGACGAGGAAGGTGGCCAGAGAGAGGAGGAGGAGGAGGGGCCGTCGTTGCAGGCAGAGGAGAGGTGGAGAAGAGGCTCAGTACAGAGGGGAGAGGCGACGATGGCTGCTGCTGGTGTGCTGCTGGGATCGGTGGGAGTGGAGCTCAGCAGTGCGAGAGAATGGAAGCTCCCATCAGATCGGGAAGATGGATAAGATGGGGGAGTATTAATTGAGATTTGAGAGCATGGATCAAACAGTGTGTGTACTGTGTAAAGGCCATGAATCCTATTGAATTCCTTTGAATCAAAGGAGCCCTAAGGGTGTGTTTGGTAGCCTGTATGGACCTAGCCTAGTTCTTCTTCTTCCATTCATGTTGAGCGTAGACATGCTGAGTCCATGCAGTTGCCCTTGTTTGGCAGTGATGTATGCTTTAAGACATGCCGAGCTGAGACTTTGTTTGACAACCTGCATCTGTTTAGACATGCTGAACATTTGTTTTTAAAAAAAATTGAACATATTTGAAATTATGATTTGTCTTAAATTTAATCAAATTTTAAATATTTTATAAAAAATAAAACAAAAACTGAAATTCTGATTTTTTTTTATTTTTTTTAATATTTTCTTAAATTCTCATCATTTTTTCAAAATTTAAACAAATTGAATTGTTGAACATTTTTTGAAAATTTACATAATTTTAAAATTCTAAATATTTCTAAAAAATGAAATTCTAGATTTTTTTGAAAAAATTTAAACAAAATTTGATATTATGAACATTTTTTGAAAATTTAAACATATCTGCACGTGGTCTGATGGGTGGGGACGAGGGTCAAAGCCAGCATGGCTGCCTCCATGCACCCTGTCTGGGGTGCATGAGATGGACATGGCTAAGGATCCTTTTATGCATCAGATGGGCATAGCTCAGGTGAGCCCATACACCCTACCAAACAAGCAAAAAATGGGCCGGATTGAAAACTTTTGCCCTCATGCAGCCTACCAAACACACCCTAAGGAGTTGTTTGGATACCGAGAATTAGATGCCAGATTTTGGAAAACCAATTTTAGAAGAATTTCAAGGAAATCAGTTTTAATTAGTCTTTCTTTTAAGATAAGTATATACAATTCCTTGAACAACAAAGAAGAGTAAAATGGCCCTCCCACGTGCGGCTGTTGAAGCCGTCATCATGGGCACCGAGGAGGTCCCGTTGCTCGCGCCTGGAGAACTGAGTCTAACTTATCCACGATTTAGTCGGATAACCCAAACAAGGTTTTAGTTTGTTATAACAGATTTTATGTTTAGACAGAACCAGTTCTCTAAAAACCAGCTACCTAAACAACCCCATATGGGATTATCCTAAAAATTCATATGGGCACAAACCAACTCATTAATTTAAGAGAGCTTTTTTTTTAGAACGAGAGCTAACGAAACCTCGTTTTGACTCATAAAGCTGTAAGGCTCTAGGATACATATTTCTTTTTTCTAGGACAGGCTCTAGGATACATGACCAAAATTCAAGAAAATCACATTCATTTTGACCAAGACGCATGAAAATTTCTCCCTCGGCCGCACTGTTTCAACCCATGAAGCCTTAGACACATGAAGCTCTTTTTTTGGAGCGAAAACACATGAAGCTGCAAGGCCGAAAGTTGACGGCAAAATATTCCAATAATATGACAACAAAGCAGATTCTTCCATACTCGGCAGATAATAAAAAGGTACTCCCTTCGTCCTATAATATAAGACGTTACTATATCTAATATGTGAGTATATTGGATGTATTTTTTTAAAATATTAAAAATAATAACGAAGACGGAGGGGGTAATTGAAGACTTTTGTAGCTGCAAGGCCCACCCAGCACCAAATTAGAGCCCAGTGCCCACCCGTGCACGACAACCAAACCAAAAATTGCAGCCCATTCGCATCGCCCACATTTTCCCCTTCATCCTGACAGACGACACAGAAATTAGTATCTCCCTCGCCGCCGCCGCCGCCGCCGCCGGCCGCCTGCGGGAATCCATCGTTTCCCATATCCTCTCTTCACCCTCCGCCCCGGCCATATCCCCGCTCCGCCGCCTCCTCTCCGCCGCCGCGGCCCCCATTTCTCCGAACCCCGGTGGATTCGCCGTCGAGGACTACCTCGTCGACACCTGCGGCCTCACCCGGCCCCAGGCGCTCAAGGCCTCCCCGAAGCTCTCCCACCTCAAGTCCCCCGCCAACCCCAACGCCGTCCTCGCCTTCCTCTCCGGCCTCGGCCTCTCCAGCGCCGATGCCGCAGCCGTCGTCGCCAAAGACCCGCTTTTCCTCTGCGCCGGCGTGGAGAGGACCCTGGGCCCCGTCGTCGACGGGCTCGCCGGCCTCCGCCTGTCGCGTCCCGACATCGCCCGCCTCGTCTCGCTCGTCCGCAGCAACTTCCGCTGCAGATCCGTCGTCTCCAAGGTGCACTACTACCTGCCCCTCTTCGGCTCCTTGGACAACCTCCTCCGTGCGGTCCGGCGCTCATCCTACCTTCTCTCGTCGGACCTGGACAAGGTTATCAGCCCCAATGTCGAGTTCCTGCGGGAGTGCGGGCTAGGTGATTGCGATATTGCCAAGCTGTGTTACCGTCTGCCGAGGATGCTGACCACCAACCCGGAGCGCGTCCGGGCAATGGCGGCGTGCGCGGAAAGATTAGGGGTTCCCAGGGGCTCCGGCATGTTCAGGGAAGCGCTGCACGCCGTCGCATTCCTCAGTGAGGACAAGATTGCTGACAAAGTGGATTATCTCAAGAAGACCATCAAGTGGTCCGATACTGAGGTGGCCATTGCTCTGTCTAAGGGCATGTACAATGGTGGCATCACTATACTGGTGCCCCATGCTCCACCTAGATAAAAGGTAACTGAAGCTACTGTTTAGTTCTACCTTCATCCAACGGAAGCAGTAGTAGTGTTCTCAGGTTTGGTAGCTTTTTCTCTGTACAAAAAGGTAGCAAGGTACTGTTGAGCTCAGCAATGGTGTTTTCCAACGCTTTCCCATTGGCTGCCTTGCACTTTTTTCACGGGAGAACCAGCCTCCTCTGCAGGATCCCGTCTAGCGCTGCAAGCAGCATCTTTTTCTCAGGTTCAACTATCCAAGCCGACTTGGCAGCTGGGGCACCGGTCCATCCTGGAGCGTTGGCCTTGCCCTAAGGCTCCGGTGTTGCTGAGGAAGTCCAAAGACCTGCTTACGCGCAGGTCTGAGTTCTTGCTATCCGAACTGGGATTGGAACCGGCCTACATTGCTCGTCGGCCGGTGATACTCTATTATAGCCTGGAGGGCCGGCTCAGGCCTCGACACTATGTTTTAAAGTTTCTCAAGGAAACTGGATTGGCCGATCGCGACTGGAGCTTCTATAATGTGGTCACGAGGACCGAGAAGGATTTCGTGGACAAGTACATATGCCCTCACAAGGAAGCTGCGCCACACCTCGCTCAAGACTATGCAACCGCTTGCAAAGGGGAGGTGCCAACTAATTTCAGATTTTTACTTGAACCAAAAGTGGGCTGAGGAAATTGGTTACTATGTACTATTGCGCAACAAAGTTTTCACTATGCATAGTAAGCTGGTAGTTCCTGTTTTCGGGTTCTTTGCCAAACTAGATTGTTTGGTTATTTTCTGTAGTATGCCTGTTAGATGCCGGTTTGGTCATTGCTTAATGCTAACTCCTATGAAACTGTTAATTTTGTTCCTGAACCCTGATATGTTGATGTTGTCATTCCTTCAGAGAAGATCTTCGTGTTCTCCTGATAATTTTATTCCTGAAACCTACAGTCTAACTATATATTTTCCTAAATCATGGTTGAGTGAAATATGTGTTGCCAGTTCCATTCTCTCATGTGTTCAGATTTTAAGAGTGATCTGGAAAGTGGAATTTGCTGGCACTCCTCTTTTCAGATACTTGGACATGCGCCAACGCAGCCTGCCAAGATGGTGCTCAGTGAGATCAAACTTCTTCCACCAAGAAGAGCATGCGGCCTCAGAGCATAATTGGTTTGATGCCGAAAATTGGCATGCCATTGTTTGGTATTGTGCCAAATATTGCCTACTACTTGGTAGGTTACCGAGTTGTCTTGCCTATCTCACATAAAGTTGCCAAATAGCTGGCAAGTATTGGCATTGCAAATATTTGGCAATGCCAACTTTTGGTTAGCCAAATATTCTCTGCTCGCACTTTTTCGTTGTTGAGAATTACTCCTCAACTTATCTTGTAGATTTCCTTTTGTTAGTAGGAAATCGATCTATTTTTAATGTGATTTGGGTATGCTTCTTCCAGTCATTCGTTGATTTCGTTACTGAAATCTGCACTTAATTACTTCTCTTTGTGTCATTGCTTCATTCCATCCAGTAGTTTGTAAACCACTGGAACAATATCATGAAAAGACTAGTGTCCTGGTTATATTTTGCCTCTCTTTTATGCGGTCCTGTTTTTTGCTTGCCATCTTGTTTACGGATTATTTGTTAGTGCTCTTTTGCATCGCAATCTTGTGCTTTGGTTGTCAGATTGCCGCTGTTTGTGATCTTGTAACAGATTTCTGTGGTGTTGCCCCTGCTGTTTTCTGTTGTTTCCATACAGGTTAAATAGGGATAGATACTTATACAAATGAAAATACTGTTTTAATCCGTTTCGGAAAAAGAACTGTTTTAATGGCTGGCACAGTAAAGTTGCTGTTTAGGTAATTGTCACAGCAGATTTGAAGAGCATGGTTTTTCTATTTGCACGGTCTTATTTGGATATAGTAGACTAGACCTGGAGATAGATAGCCTTGGGCATGAAACTGGAGAGACTTAAATACACACGAGCTAGTGAATTCCACGATCTTTAT